CTCTCTCTCTCTCTCTCTCTCACACACACACACACACACACTCACACAAAAACAAGTAACGCAATGTATATTCCCACGCTATAGCGCCATATTCATTCGATTTTGCTCATCCTATCGAGGGCGCAGTACCATGAGGTCAGCCGCGACGAGAGAGAGAGAGCGGCGGCGACCTGCACGGAGGGTCACGGCGAACTCGCCGCCCCCCTCTCTCTTTCTCTCTCTGGCCGCCTCTCTCTCTCTCTCTCTCTCTCTCTCTCTCTCTCTCTCTCTCTCTCTCTCTCTCTCTCTCGCTCTCGCTCTCTCTCTTTCTCTAGCTCGTTTGAGAAAGGGAGCGGGAATGCATCTTCCCGCTATCGCGGTAAGATGCATTCCCGTTTCGTTTTCGAAACGAGACTCTCTCCATCTCTCTCTCTCTCTCTCTCTCTCTCTCTCCTCTCTCTCTCTCTCTCTCTCTCTCTCTCTCTCTCTCTCTCTCTCTCTCTCTCTCTCACGACTTGAACTGTTTTCCCGTTGTTTTTTTTTTCGTTTGTGTATTTCATTTTTTTTTTCTTCTTTCTTTTTTGATCGTGGCGCTGCGCCCCGGCAGCATCAACCAAGGTCACCACGGAGAGGAGCCGCGCGCGTCGGGTAACAGCATGCAGCAAGGAAAATCGTGCGCGCGCGCTCGAGTATTGCGCGCGATTGGGCGCGCGCCCTGAGGTGAAATTTGGACCACCGGTGGTCTACGCTGAGGAGCTGAGGTAGTCCAAATTTCGGACCGAACGGTCCAGCAGATCACGAGATATCGAAGTTTTAGGGCGCGCCATGGAAGTCGAGCATGTGGACGCTTCTCCTTTCGACATCCTTTCTTTCCCTTTCTGCACGTGTTTGCTGATTAAGGCGCCACAAGGAGAGCGGCTGGAGATGACGGCATAGCATGCATGGTCTCCTCTGTCTACTTTCATCTGCCCTACGAAGCGGTGGACTCAAGTGTCTGCGGTAAGCTTGAACTCCCTGGGGTAGCTCGTTGGCAGGCTCAACGAGATGTTGCCCCACCATCCCAATGTTGGAGAAGTTTAGGGGGATGGCCGATTGGTACCTTCGTTTGCCTGTGTTGGTGTTATGGCAGGCCCTTGAGGCTGGTAGGGCGGGTAGATGGAGGGAGTTTTGTTCTTCCCTCCCGAAGGTGAAGGGGTTGGGTTTGAGTGAGGGTGGATGAAGGGGAGGCAGAGGTTTTTTTTCTTACGGGAATTTTATGAAGTCATACGGCGAAGGAGGGCAGCTTCCCCTGCTCATAACCATGATTTCCTGATTCACGTGTACTGATGATTGATTCTATAAGGGTGGATAACCAGAAGATCTCAGTTCGCGATTTCTTGATTCGATTTCTTTCTATTGTTCATTGGGTGCTCTTCTGAATTTCTCAGTTTATGATTTCCTGATTCGTTTTCTTTCTGCTGATCAATTGGAATTTTTGCTGATGATCGACATGCTCGGCTTAGACTTCAAACCTCGTATTGGAATTCCTATAAAAGCTTCCAAAGAAAACTTCTGATTCTTGATTTTTTTTCCTATAAAAGCTTTTAAAAATATTCTCGAAATAATTTTCTATAAAAGCTTCTAAGAAACTTCTGATTCTACAACTCGAAATAATTTCCAAATAAAAGCTTCAAAAAAGTTCTGCTTCTTGAAATATTTTGCTACAAAAGCTTCTAAAAATATTTTCGAAATATTTTCCTATAAAAGCTTCTAAGAATTTTCTGAAAAGATTCTTCAAATAAATCCCTATAGAAGTTCTATAAACTCTATAAACTCAGATAATTTTGATTTTGATCAAGGAAGGAGGGGGGGAATTAAAAAGGGGAGGATGGGAGGAGGAAAGGTGGCCTTCAATCAGAGGATGGATGTCGGGGAAGGTGAGTAGGTCAGGAGGACGAGGCTGGGATGACATGGGCCGGTGCTGGAGCTTGGCTCTGTGACCCAGGGGGGAGCTTGAGGCCCATGGAATTATGCCGAGGGTGGAAGGCATAACCAGATCGTCCAACACAAGCGGCGCCGGGGTTCTGACCCTGTAACCTGTGCAGGGGTTTGTCGCTATGGGAATTGCCGAGGGAGGAAGGCACTTCCTATCCGACAGAACTAGGTTGGTCGGTACTGGGGAAGGTTGTGGTGCCCTGTTACCCATGCAAAAGGGGTATGAGACCAAGTGTGTTCTGGTTCGAGGACCGAAAGTCGAGAC